TTTACATTCCCACCAGCAGTGTAGGAGGGTTCCCGTTTCTCCACATCCTCACCAGCATTTGTTGTTCTTAATCTTTTTAATGCTGGCCATCCTAACCTGTTTGAGCTGATAGCTCATTGTGGTTTTAATTTACATTTCCTTGATAATTAGTGATGTGGTGCTTTTTTTCATGTTCCTGTTGGCCATCTGAATTTCTTTTTTGGAGAAGTGTCTGTTCATATCCTCTGCCCATTTTTTTTTTTTTTTTTGTGAGGGCATCTCTCATATTTATTGATCAAATGGTTGTTAACAACAATAAAATTCTGTATAGGGGGGTCAATGCTCAATGCACAATCATTAATCCACCCCAAGCCTAATTTTCATCAGTTTCCATTCTTCTGAAGCATAACGAACAAGTTCTTACATGGAGAACAAATTCTTACATAGTGAATAAGTTACATGGTGAACAGTACAAGGGCAGTCACCACAGAAGCTTTCAGTTTTGCTCATGCATTATGAACTATAAACAGTCAGTTCAAATATGAATACTCATTTGATTTTTATACTTGATTTATATGTGGATACCACATTTCTCTCTTTATTATTATTATTTTTAATAAAATGCTGAAGTGGTAGGTAGATACAAGATAAAGGTAGAAAACATAGTTTAGAAACACAGACAATATTAGCCAAGATGATCTGTGCCTGTTTCTGACATAGTCTGGCATGTACTGTGTGAGATAAATTTTAGGACATGTGAGAATGTCACATTGGCTTGCACATACTATTTGGTTTATTCTTTGTCCATAGCATCTGGTATCCTGAACAATTGCAAAGATACAAAAAAAATCTCTTGCAGTACTCTCACAATTGTTTATTATTTATCATTTCTAGTTGCTTGTGCACCTGGAAGAGTGACAATCCAAGAGGACCCCCCTGGCCACCTGTCTGTGGCTTGGTCCAGTGTAGCTCTGAGTGACTACTATGTGGCCTTTGTGAAGAGTGACGATGGCTTGGAAGTACACTGCAACACATCCTTCACCCAGTGCAATTTCTTATCTGAATGTGGCTTCACTTACTTTATTAGTATATTTGCCTTTAACAAGGCAGGGCAGAGTCCTTTGGGTGATGTGTTCAATTATACCACAGGTAAGTTGCTCTTGATGCTTATAAAGGAGGTCTAAGTTCATAAACTCAGCAGCAGAACGAATCACCTATTGTACTTACTGATTTGCATAAACCAGCTGGGAGTCATTCTAGGGCCAAGAATGAAAAGTGAATCTCTTCTCTCACATTCTTTCCAGACTAGGAAATTTCGGCTTCATGGACAAGCCTAACAAGAATGCAAGGTTTAGGAGTGAAGAGAGGGGAAAGAATGAGTTTTCAAATCTGCTCTGAAAAACTGACCCCTCTGCCTGATCTGCTCAGTGTTCAGCACCCTGTGCTGGGTGCTGAAGGGGATGCAGTCTTCCTGTCTCAGTTCGCTTCTTCCCTGAGACCAGGACACAGAGATGCAATGGCACAGATGCTGCCTATTGGAGAGGGCTTTGCAGTGGGAAATCAGCATCGCAACCTGGGCCTAACCTGGCCACTAACTCGTGTGTAAAATGGGCATAATGACGTTACCCTGCTAGTTCTTTACAATTCTCCATGGCAAAATGAGACAAATAATAATGAGAACATGAGTAGGAAAAGTCTTTCTATGTGGTAAAGCACAATGCATATATTCTTATTAGTATCATTATTACTCTTACAACTATTCTCTTCCACTAGGCTGGGATCTTCTACAGGGCAGGGATTCTGTTTTATCTCTTCATCCTCAGTGCTTATCATATATGAGTAGGAAAAGTCTTTCTATGTGGTAAAGCACAATGCATATATTCTTATTAGTATCATTATTACTCTTACAACTATTCTCTTCCACTAGGCTGGGATCTTCTACAGGGCAGGGATTCTGTTTTATCTCTTCATCCTCAGTGCTTATCATAGTGTGATCAGCATATGGGAGATGTTCGATATTTGAAGAATGAATGGAGTGAGAGACTTGAAATTAATTAGGCTTACAAATAAGCGTACTATAATTATGTATATAATGTTATCTAGATTATAATAAATATTACCAGGATGAGGGACTCATGTCATTGGTGTCTTTGGAATTCAGAATAAGAGGCTATCAATAGTTTCAAGAGCACAGGAGGGCCTTCCAGAAGGAGTGGCCTTGAACTGGATATTTAAGAATTGACAGAATGTAGGTTGGACTCTATGGAGTGGGTATTAGGCCAGGATTGGAACTGGACAGAGCTGTACGATACGAGAGAGATTCTTGCAGTAATATAGAAAGGCGGCGGCAGAGGCTCTGGGCATGGAGAAGTCAGACTCAATGCTCCTCTCTGACATCACTGCTCCTGTTTGACCTACATTCTCTCTCTGCTCCTGCTTTCAGCTCCCTGTTGTCCTAGTGACATTAACCCTGTGTTGGTGTCTAGTGACAGAGTAGAGATTGTCTGGTCTCCTGTCCGTGGTGCAGAACTTTATGAAACCAAGGCAGTGGATGGGCTCAACGTGGTTGAGTGCAATGACACGGCTCCTGCTTGCACCCTTTCAGCTCTGGAATGTGACACCACGTACAACATTACAGTGTATTCCTTCAGTGAAGTGCGGGGCAGCAATATGTCATGTACTTCCCAATTTGTAACCACAGGTACAATACAGCTATAATTTCATTCACTCATGTCTGAACAATTCACTCCCTCTGTGTCCCTCAAGATGGGCATTCAGCAATAATTATGAAAAGGCCAACTCCCCTTAGCCACTCTTAGTGGGGACTATTAGAGCCCCTATCTTACTAAGGATGGGCAAAAGAAGAAGTGGAAGAGGGGAAGTGAGGAAAAAAACAGAAAAGGAGACTTTCGGGAGAGTGGAAGTTTTCACAGTGAGTACCCCAGCCATTCACTGCCTGCTACCTTTGGAGGCATGCATGTATTCATACCATCAAGGTTAAGATCACAAATATTTGCCTTAATTACTTCTGCTTTTTGGAGTTTAAAATGCTTCTTAACATTTCCAGTTAGTCTGACTCTATAGGAACCCAATACCGTATCCATACTGAGGTTCTAAGAGTTTGGCTGACATGCATGGTGTGGCTGAATGTAAGATCTCACTTGGGGAAAAAACCAGTATTAGACCAAATGGCACTTGTGGTATTTTTGTCTCTCATGGTCAACAATGATACTATTCACTTTCACTGTTTGAATTAATAATCTAAAATCTCTTAGCTCCTTGCAGTCCTGAGATAAAAAATGTTTCAAAGGATGCATTCTCCATGGTTAATGTGCACTGGCGATCCACTAATGATGATGCTACTTACACCGTGACTGCACAGGGAGACAAAGGGCTGTACAGGTGCAGTAGCACAGGGGAGTCCTGTGCCATGGGCAGCTTGCCCTGCGGCTCTGTGTTCTCTGTCACCGCTGTAGCCGAAACGCAGGCAGGACAGAGCCTTCCAAGCTACAGTGTACCCCTAGAAACAGGTATGTAGCAATGCCAGCCTGAACACTAATTCCTTAAGGATTGTTGTAAGACATGAACTGTCTTATCCGCTCTACCCTAAATGTGATAGAAATCCATTAATCTCAGAGGCCTTTTGAAGAGCCCCAGTCTTAGAAATAAAATTTTCAACCTTTGGACACAGGTTCAGTAAAAGCACTGTCAGAAGACTCTGCTATATTTGTACACTGATGCCAAAGAAGTAATACAGTGATTCTGTGAAAACAGTTATTTGAACTCATATTCCCCCATAACACAGTCTACCAAAACAACTAACAAGTGACCAAATGAGCTGGCTTATTATTCATTTCTTTGGCTCAACCCTTTGAAATCTTACTTAAAAAAAAATGCTTTCAGAGCATTGGTTTCCTAATTGGTAAAGGGGGATAACAGCTTCATCACAGAGTTGTATTAAGTTACTACTACAAAGTGCTTAGCATAGTGCCTGGTGCATAGGAAGAGCTTGATAAAAGAAGGCTGTCATTGCTTGATAGCATTATGTGTGAATGAAACTTAGTAAATCATTTAAGGCCTTTGGATATTATTTTCCCTTATATACAATGATAGATGGCACGTTAGACTATAAAAGTCAGAATGTAAGAAGCAGCAGAATAGAGACAGTACCAAATATACAGGAAGAGTCTAGACATCCTATGTCCTGCATAATGGGTCCCTGAAAAATTGAGAACTGGCTATGGTATTCTTAGGTGGCCAAGAGTATTTCAAGCTTTTATATCAATTATGTACTAGAAATGCACGAGAAAGGCAAAATACATTTAATTGAAGTGCTGTGAAATATTATACTGGGAGAAGAGATGAATGCAACCAGTGCTTTGAAGTTTACAGCTGGAATTGTTAAAACTGGGGGAGACAATGAAGAATTTCTTATTCTGAAAAATAACCAGGAGGACCTCACATTACTGACAGCCAGTTAGGGCTCTGCATTCTTGGGGAAGCACCCACCATATAGAGCTGATGTTAAAAGATGTATCAGAGGAAATAAAATTTTGCTTAACAAAAGGAAATTTTGATTAACAATTGAAGGTTTGAGAAAATTAGGATTTTGAAACAGGCAAAATGCCATTCTCGACTGTTTTTCACAAATAACCCTCAGCAGAAATAATATATTATGGAAGTTATATGTGGAAATAAATCCTCAACTCTTTCTTTTTTTCCCCCATTTAAGTGCCATGCTGTCCAATGGGTCTGACAGTAACTCAGGTCACCCAGTCAGTAATCAATGTGAGCTGGACTGTTGGGACTGGGGCCCAAACCTATGTGACAGTTCTGGAGTCGCGCACTGGGGTGTCTAAGTGTCATACCCAACAAAACCACTGCCTCCTGGGATGCATCACATGTGGCGTCAATTACACAGTATCATTAAAAGCAGTTAGTGCCACTGGGTCGACTGCGGACTGCACCTACCGAAGCTATTCCTCTAGTAAGTGAACTCCAAACTCTAACTCTAGAGAATCAATAATGACTTCTACTATTATAATCCTTCCTTCTCATTTAAGAAGCTGCTGCATCTCCGCCTAGCTTGCATTGAAAATTCTGTTTACTTCCTAAAATGTTTACAGTTTTCTCTTGACTTAGAACCTCAAAGCTTCAGAGGCTTCTGTTGGTTGTTGATGAATTAACTCCCATTGATAACAAGGTTTGGGTATACTTTTTCCAAAAGAACAGATTTTTATATGATCCAGCTCCCTGCAGTACAGAGTAACTCAGAGTAACTGGTAGAATTTCCAGAAAGTGGATCACACATTCTATTTGGCCTGAACTTTTTTGTCTTCTTATTTTTAAGCTGCTGCCTCTCTCTTTGAAACCACTCCAGTTTCTTATTACAGTTTCTTATTACAACAGGCTAAAAGAGCACAGTTGACTGACAGTATTGTATCTTGTTCCTCACAAAGACCAAACCATTAGGGAATAGCCACTGAAGTGGCCGCTTGGAGCACTGTTTAAAAAAACAAAACAAAACAAAAACTGAGGATGCCTTTCAAGGAAAGAGTACAATAATCTGTTCGTTGTGTCTGCCCCAGGGCATGGGATGGAAGAGGTGAAACATAATGTTGCCATCCCAGGGGTAGTAGAAAGAGTCTTCAACTAGGAGTCTAAAGACATGGCTTCTTTCTTTTATTATTATTATTATTTTTAATTAAGGTATTATTGATACACACTCTTATGAAGGTTTCACATGAAAAACAATGTGGTTACTACATTCACCCATATTATCGAGTCCTCCCCCATACCCCATTGCAGTCACTGTCCATCAGTGTAGTAAGATGCCACAGTCCCTACTAAGACATGGTT